AGAGAAAGATATTCTCGTCTTGTCACGAGCATGGGTCTAAAAAAAATTCCGAGAGGAATCGAACCTCAGACCCTTGGATTCCAACGAAAAAAGGAAATTAGTAAGGGAAAACTTTGCAACCGCGCAATCTGCGCAGTATTGTTTATCTTTTGCCTGTTCAACAGTTTTATCTAAGAGAGAGGGAAAGGTGTGTGTCTATAGACTCATTGGTTTTTTTTTTGGTTCTTGACACTGAGGGGACACATAAAAGAGAAGTTGGTCTTTCATTAAGTTAGTTTTAACTCAGTGCGACTACTCTTCTCGGTTTTTGCAGGTACCCAACTCGTGGCCCTCTCGCGGTCAGCTCACTTTCCGGAATGTCAGCTTAGTCTATCGGTAAGTTAGGTTTTTTGGAGTCACGTGGTTACTAGGAAACTCATCCGTCTTGCGCGAAATGCTTGGTGTTTTACAGTGCTTGCGCTCAGGGGAACAATGCTGCAAGGACACAGCGGCAAAATGAGAGCGCATGTTTGTAACACTCGAGAAATTTTACTCGCGCAAAGGAATGGGAACGACTATTTCTTTTGTAAAACTATGGCGGCACTTTTAAAATTCCCATCGCTCGTTTTCATTTTGCGGGGATAAGCCCAAACTAAAACAGATAATGTTGCCGTTTCAGGAAAGTGTCTATCGAACCTCATTTGTCACACATTTCACACATCTTGCTGGAATTACTAAACGCTCCTCCAAAGCGCTAAATCCGCCGAGCTTGCGCACTCATTTTACCGCTGTGTCTGCTGCAAGTGAAGACCAATACAGTAATTGCGGGAAAGTATGTAACCCGTATGACGCATGGGAAAACGTGTCAGTGATGACAAGAGAGGGAAAGGTGCAGGAGAGCAATTTGTTTTTTTTAATTTTTTTATAATCTTGCGCGGATGCAATTGCGCTAAATTTGCCTTGAAATATGGATCAGCACGGCCGCAAAAATCGTTGGAACAATATGTCGGACTAAGAAAAACTGCGAATTTATCGTATACATCAGTTCGAATACCATCCTAACTGACCTAAGGATCAAAACTACCTGTTATGGCAGAATACCACTCATTTGTTTTAATGCCAAGTTTTTTCTTTATAGACCAGGTTTGCCTCAAGCACTTCGCGGGGTATCATTCTCAACAACTGCCGGGGAAAAGGTAACATTAACCCCATAATATCCTTACGTTATCCCGCAAACAGGAAACGAGATTACTCAAACTTATCAGGTAGAAGTTGTTTCCTGGAACTAACAAATTCTCGTAACTAATTTAAAAGGAAATGTTTAGCAGGTAGAGGAGACAAGTAACAGGGGGTTTAAGGATTAACGACCATTGCGGGAAAGGTGCTTTAAGTCATGTTCTACTTGAGAATGTTAATGAAACTGCCTTTAAAAAGAAATTCAATGTGACCAGCGGAATCGATCTCTTGGCACTTAGGTGTTTATGTCAGCTTAGGAACAGGCCGTTTAGTCGAGGATGGGGCTACGGGGAAAGTGGGGGAGCAAAGGAACGAGGAGAGAGCTTCGTCGTTCCCCTCTCCCCTCACCCCTCCCCCCCTCCCCGCTGGCCGCTTTACCGGCACCTATCTTTGCTCGGCCTTTTCACCGGAACCTTTTCAGAGGGTACGCTTGTGAAAGAAGTTTGCTTGTCACGTCTTCCTATAATAAAAAAAAAGACCTAATGTCTGTCACTTTGTTGAAATGTGTTCCTGTTATAACATAAAAGTGGATGGTATGCTATCAAAAATTTTGGTCTGGCTTTGTTGCATTACTGATGTGATTGGAATGATTTTGCTCTGTGTGCGCAAATATTTCACTTCCAATGAAAAACTTTTTTCAACTCTCATAAAACTATTTAGTATGAAAAGATTCCTATAACTTCCAGTTTTCGTCTATTGTTTTGTTTGTTTGATTGTGCAGCTTGGCATTGTTGGTCGAACAGGCTCTGGTAAATCAAGCCTCTTTCAAGTTCTGTTTCGAATGATTAACAGCTACCAGGGGGCCGTGTTAATTGATGGCATCAATATAGCCTCTGTACCGCTGGATATTCTCAGGTTGGTTTTACTGTGTGACCAGCTCGGTGAGGAATAGGTGGTGTCCACGTGAGGGTATCATACATTAAATAATTTATCTGAAGAAATTTTAGTGTGTAACGCGGGTAAACTGGTGTGAGGAGGAGAAAAAAATAGCTTTCAATCCCTCTCCTACCTAAGCTATTTATTCAGGCTAGCAGCAGTGCGTTAGGCCTAAATTAACGTTACCTGCATTGGTCTGCGCTGGACTAACATCCCCTTAAGAATAGGATGGGTATATGAATATACTCACAATTCTCACAGTCGCTTTATGCTACGGAATCTGGGAAAGGAGCCCCTGGGTGAGGCCCAGAACCCTTGGGAGAGACCTAGAGTCCTCGGGCTTCAAAGCGGGCTTTGCCATTTTTGTCCACGTTTGCAATAGTGGTACTAGACGCCTGAAGTCTCTTTTTTTTGTTTTAGATCTCGACTGGCCATCATTCCTCAGGATGCTTTCCTTTTTAGTGGAGCAGTGCGAGACAATCTTGACCCGTGGAAAAGAGTAAGTGGTGTTTGTATACATTGTTATTGTTACTCAAGGGAGACAAGTTTATGTTTGCGTTCGACGTTAGGAGACTGCATACCATTCGCATCGCTTCTTTCTGGCTGCTGTGCGATGTAGGCGCCATCTTGGACTGGCTGGCTACTCGCTTCGATTTCATGCGAAGCTTTAATCCCGTTGTCCAAGTGTGGTCTCAAAGGTTGACTCGCTTCGGTCCTGGATGACATGGAAAGATATGGTTACGAACTGCAACCATTCGATCGAACAAAATAAGTTACTACAAATCAGAACTTTTCGAATGTTTTATCATACCCTGGATTTTTCGACCCGAGACAAAAGTATACATTCCTAAGCTAGATCAAACGCACTTGTCAAATCCATAATTATTACTAGCCGATAGAAGTTTCTTAGTAGTACTTGCTTTTCTTTTAGTGTTCCGAGGCTGAACTGTGGACGATTTTAGAACGTTGTCACCTGCTTCAAGCCGTACGAGAACTCGGTAAGCTTAATTGTTAAGCTCCCAATAGAGTATAGTTATCAACACCAGCATTTTTCATGTGATTAATTTAAAGTGTTTTTATTCGTAGGTGGTTTGGATGCTGACGTTGGTGAACGTGGGCGACATTTTTCAGTTGGTCAGCGGCAGCTGGTGTGTCTAGCAAGAGCCCTTTTGACGAGAGTCAAGGTGATTATTGACAGTTTGCTAATTACGGGCTATTGCTATCAAATATTCAGTCTTTCAAACATATTAAACGTACCTGTTCCAGGGAGACGTGGTGGTGTTATGGTAAGTGCGTTGGACTCCAGGAGGAGAGGTCAGGGTTTAAAACCTGGCCGGTTCTTTGGCAGATCACTACTTTTACGCTGCCTCCGTTCACCCAGGAGTACAAATGGGTGCTGGCAAATTGTCAGGGAAGGGTGATACGCTGGGGCGGGGGGGTAACCTTGCGATATACTAGTGTCCCATCCAGGGGGGAGTAGTGATACTCCTGGTCGCCTCATGCTACATGGAAACTGGGAAACTGGGATAAGCTCCGGCTGAATGGGCCAATAGGCTTATGTTCAGACTTAGCTTTACGTGTTCCAGGCACGTAGTTACTGGAAAGCATTGCCACTATAGCTCCAAGAAAGAAAAGAGGTTAGGAAGGCGTTGCAAACGCATTGAACAGGATGAAAATGTTTCTTTTGAATAGAAGGGTTTATATCAACTTAAGCTTTATAACTCCATTGTTACGGAACTTTCTGTTAAGAGAGGAAGGCTGAAATGTATATGTCTTCAAAATCCTGCTGGTAGTAAAAATAACCGCCGCCCCCCCCCCCCCCCCCCCCCCCCCCCCCCCCACCCCTACATGTGGTGCATCCCTACCTTGGGATGCACACATTCCTTTAATTTGTGAGAGTGACTGGCTTCTAATTTCTCCTTACATTATCTTCTGCGATTTCAATGTAAAGGGCATGAAAATGAATGAAATAATTTTAAGAAAGGAAAACAGACTTCCTTTTCCGTTAAGATCGAGAATAACGTCACGGGAATCAACATATCCCTGCAAACGGCCTGACTTTGCTTTTCTTGTTTACATGTGCCAGGTTTTGTGCATCGATGAAGCGACGGCGAGCGTGGACCTTGAAACAGACAAGCTAATCCAGAGGACGATTAGAAGTGAATTTAAAGAAAGCACTGTCTTAACAATTGCGCACAGGTTAGAAATATCATTTTTATCGGCCACGGCATAATATTAACTGCACTTGGAGGTTTGAATCTCGGTGAATTTCCTTTTTCTATGCTGCAAAAATATTTTGTTTTTCAACCAAAGAAATACTAACTTTAATCGTTTTTTTTTTTTAAACCTTTATGGCAATTTAGAAGAAAAGTAATGGCAACTTCGTTCGTAAGCTCTCGGAGGGAAGAAAGGAGAGCGAGAACCTAGGAACGAGTTGAAAATCACAACTCGTACTTTGACTCAAAGCCCTCAAAATAATCCTCACGTCTGGAAATAGGAGAAGTTATGATGAAATCCCTCGCCCTGGAGGCTCCTTTTAAAGGGGAGTCCACCGAAAGGCAATGATCTGATGTCTCTTTCTATCTTGCAGGCTAGACACTATTATGGACAGTGACCGTGTTTTAGTGATGGATCGGGGGACTGTGGTCGAATGCGACACCCCAGGGGCGCTTCTTGAAAACAAGCATTCCTTCTTTTATGGTCTTGTTCACAGCACTAGAACCAAGGACAACTGATTCACCAACGAGAAGAAATTTCACAGTAACTTTCAGCTACAGTCATCTCAGGGATGTGCAGTTTTTAATTGTGTATATCGCGTGTTTACGGAGTCGTAAGCGTAACGCCAGCCTTCCAATGGAGAGGGACTCCTCTCCATCTCCAACTAGAATCGCATCCTGTGGGTGTGTCATTTTACCCTGTTACCTTCTGTGCTGGCTAGTAATTTGGGATTGTTTCGCAATGGATGAAGAAAGCAAATGTTTTTTACCCTTGTCCTTTATTATTATATTTTCTTTTGGAGTCGAACATAATATACGAATATTTGGGGTGCTATTTTATTTATTTGTTCTGGCTTATCTATTGTTTCATCGCTCCATAAGAGCCTAGGTTGGTCAATTCACGATTTTCCCTTTCTAGAAAATTGTCTAGTTTGGTTCGTTTTCCTCAAATCAGCGGACAAACGTCGAGCATGCGCAAGGGGATCAATTTTGGCCAGTCGCGTGCGCGCGCCCAATTCCTGCGCAAAATTTCAGAAGTAAACTTAGGAAACATTCCTATTCCCAGTAAAAAATAACGACCAAATACGAACGCGTTTGACTGCTGTGTTGCAGACTGAACTAAACTCAACATTTAATAAGGAGTGGGTTGTTTCAACAAAACTTCACGAGGATTGTAGCTAACTTCGAGCGTGACGTCTCCTCAAGTTTAACTACCCAGATCCATTAGTAGCTTGTTGTTTTTTCGCTTCCTCGTATTGCGGTGTCTTCTTGACAAAACCTCTTTCGATCAAACTGTAGGCCATGTCTATTACGCTTTTCTTGAAATCCTCAAACTGCATACCGAAATGGTCTTTTATCTGAACAAACAAAAGAAAAAAGCAAGAGATTAGCGTTTTTAAAAATTACTTGGACCAGGCTTAAATTCTACGTTATCTCAACCATCCCTATAACACCCGTTGAGATAAGAGCTCTTTTTGATTAAGAGTCGTGAGAGCAAAACCAAAGGAATTACAACAGATAATCAAAAAGAAATGGGAAAATAGTTTTAAGAGCCGATATGGACTTAAAGTAAAACAATCAAACTGCTTCGAGGGCGGGAAAAAAACGCGGGCGATCAAGTCGTGTTGAGAGGTTGGTGCGGGGTTTCTTGACCAATCACAGAGCGTAGTACAGGAAAACCTATGCAATCTCAGTTTAGTTTTGACACTCCAATAAAAATTGTTCTATACCACGGAACAAAGATCCCAAGATTGTGATTTCCTTTTTAATTATTAATCAATTATTTATTAATTATGAGTTACCTTCGAATTATCTAACTTGATGTCTTTGTTAAGAAAAGGTAAAATAAACTTCAACGTGCCATCAAACCAAGAGGCGATTTTTATCATGACCTTTGGAGCCACTGTGGTAGGAACTTTATAACCTACAAGAATGGAAGAAACTTTTCTTCTTAAGATTGACTTATCTTATAAACATCTTACGTTACATAAATAGGGGCATTTCGATTAAGTGTCGCAAAGCCTAAGCTGAGTAATCTCGGCACCAAATCCGAACTTTAGGGAAAATGTCATAGAGAGCCAATGAGAACTCAAGGTAATCAAAGTGCTCTGTGAGCAAACTCGTGAATTGAAAAGAAAAGGTTGGAAGTAAATGTGGGTGAAAAGTGAAATTTAATGTCTTTCGTTGTAAATATTAGTAAATCAAGGCAATACTGTCTTAATGAAAACATTAACGATTCCCCCTTTATCAAATGAGACAAACGGGAACGAGTTTCGAGTGATACAACTAAGCCAAGCCTGCCACCGTCATTTTGGTTGTGTCCTCGTGTACCGGTACACAAAGGAACGAAACATTAACGAACTGCGTCACAACTCCATGAATGAATATGAAAACAATAGGAATTCCCCCGTGTACCGGTACACCAGGACAGCCCCGTCATTTTGGATCTTCGCCTGGGAAGATTTAAGTCACGTGCTAGGCAACGTGTAATCAATAACAAGATAGAATTTCATTTCAGGCCTATTTATCAATTTCGTGGTGTGTAACTTTCGCATTTTAGTACGTTGTATGTATGTTGAATCTTCAAATTGTCTTGAAACTTGAAAGAAAATTGTTCTTTAAAAATTCACTGAAAATCGGTAGCTAAAATTGTTTGTTTAGGTGTTAAATGATTTTCGTGTTAACTTGTTATTTCGTCAGTCGCCGGCATCTTTTGTTGCTTCACACAGGAAAAACACACGCGACGAAACGTAATGATCAATTTTGTCCTCAATCTCACGCCATAACAGAAAAATCTTTTGAACATCTGTAAACTCCGAGCGCTTCGCAGTAAGTGATATTTTCAATGAATCTTCGGATTGTTTTCAAGTTCAAGGATTGTAAATTACAATTTTATGAAAAACGAAGGTTGTTCTGTTATTTCAGTGTGAATCCTTGCATGCCTGCCAGTCGCTGGCGCCGCTTGTTGAAACTAAAACGAAAAAAAAAAACTCTTTTAAGATTATCATTGGCTTCTTTTTCACCCCACCACTATTCTTAGCAACAAAGGTCGCCATTTCGTCTGTTTATTGCTCGCCAAAAACTATCAAATGCACTCAAAAGCCTAAAATCTAAAAAAAGTTTACAGGAATCGACCAATCGAGCGAGCGAGCGAGCGAGCGAATGGCATTCCCCACATCGTATCTATAACTCGCTCTTGCGCATGCGCGCAATTCACGAGTTAAAAACGATTTCAACCACATTTTAACCCTTTATACTCTAACATCTCTATTCATCTCTCATTTCTATCTACAAACATTACGCTATCGACATTGCTGATCCTAGCAGTATGCAAGACGCGTGTCATATGAACTTCGTAAAAGATCTCGCCCACCGTGGAGTCCCTGTGGCTCAGTGATTAGAGCATCGGAGCGCGGAATCCGAAAGTCTGAGGTTCGATTCCTCATGGGGACTCAAAATTTTTTCTTTGTCCCACGCTCGTGACAAGACGAAAAAAACATATTTCTCTATCTCTATGTATATTTTCCATACTGTTCTCTGTGCATTTCCCAAGGTTCTCAGAGAGATGACTTGTTTCACAATCAAGAGCTCCATTAATTGGTGATCATCTCCATTACTCTCGTAACCTTTATGTGTGGTTCATGGGTGATATTGTAAGGAGAAATCAGACGCTGGTCACTCTAGGGGGTCAAGGAATTTAAGTGTACAAGAACCTTACCGAGAGGTCTGAATTCTTCATGAAGCAGCCGTGCCATATCATCCATCCAGTAACAGTCCGTGATGGCGAGGTATCTGTTACCTGTTAAGACAAAACAAAGAGGAGTACAAAGTGTTTATATTAAATCAGTCATAACTGACTGGATTACAAAGTGAAGGGTCTAAAGTTGGTCGAGCGCATTGAGATGCGACTTTGGAAACACTCGGTTCCAGACCTTTGGCCATACTAAAGGGGAAAAAGTCTCAATCGAAATACGTGGTTGCTCTATACGAAAACCAAAAAGGTTTGTTAGGTTGTCTCCTTGTGTTCTCTCCGCATTCTACCCTTATTGAGATGAAAACAGAGCTAAGAAGCCTTTGCAATAATTTGTAATTTGTTTCTATGCTAAAGGACATATTACCAGGTGCTTTAGTTGACGTCATGGCAATTATATGAGCTCTAGCACAATCTCTGACATCAATCACTCCAAACATCATTTTAGGAACCATTGGCATTTCTCGCTGAAGAAAACGCCTGTGAGCTAAAAAAACATTATTGGTTACTTCAGTCGTGATTACAGGCTGTAATAGCTGGTAATTATTTAGATTTCCCCCCCCCCCCCCCCCCCCCCCACCACCCCCGGGGGATAAATTATGTCCGAGCCATTAATTATGTTTTAACAAACACAATTTTGCCACTCATTGTCTATCACGGAATAGACAACGAGTAGCGTAGCCAATCAGATTACAGCCTTTCTCATTGGACGCTAGTAGATTTATACTGAAATATACATTTACCTCGGTGCTTGTGCAATAAGAGCCTAACACAGGGCCAACAATAAACCCAGGATTGATGGTACAAAGCTCAAACTTCTCATCATCTGTCAGTAAGAACGAGAAAACACGATGTGTTAAAGTCCCGTAGAGCTTGGAAGGCGGATACGTTTAATTTGGGCTAGACATGTGGTCTGATAGCTTACATCGAAGAATTACGTCATTTCATTTTAAGAAAATTATGTAGTTCTTAGACAAGTTTGTCAGAGCTGGTAATGAAATTACCATCAGGGGAAGAGTCTAAGTTCTATTCTCATCGGGCAAGATACAAATACTCGCTGCTATACTAGCAAGAACAGTTTCAAAGTGTACAAGCAAACCACCACGGAATTCCTTAAGGGTAGCCGTGACAGACTTACATCCCATGCGGGGGAAAAGCAACACTATCAGTCGCTTCATGCAATGGGACCAGAATAACCTGCAAAACCAGTTTTCGCTTAGTTCATGTTTCAAAGAATCAAACACCGGGTTTAAAAAAAAAAATGTGTGTCATATACACTTTAAGTCTATGAGACTCAACCCGTGATAGCTTGGTCCTGATTCTCCTGAAATTGCATGACTTAGTTTCTTTGAAATAATGAAAGCTTTTTTTAAAAAAGTCAATAAGTTGTAACCTGGCAACTTCTCCACTAGTTCCCAGGCGGCCTTTTCCGCACGCTTCTTGCTCTTCTCATACGGGCTGACCCCCTCGTCTGCTGCCCAGTCCTCCTCGGTGAAGACTTTATCTTCAACGCCTCGTCGACCACCTTTGCACAGGTAAAAGAATAGTGGCTGAAAAAATTAATGAATGAAAGCCGAGCTTTCCTGGCGCTTCCATCAAGGAATGGCGGCTGAAATGACAAATTTTGTCATATCTAACTCACAGCAAAAAAATTAAATTGAGAAAATAGCGCGCTCTTAAAAATTTCACGTCAATTGAAAGCATGTTATCGAAGAAAAAAGGGTCTGAAATTTTTCATGATCTCAATATGTTGTAAAACTGAGATTAAAGCATAATCTAGTAACCAGATCCTACCTTGTAACTGTAACTGAAAACGGCTTGACCGTGAAAGGCCTAAGAATGAGTCTGGTTTAAGCATCTACGATTGGAAAACGCATTTCTCGCTTAGAGCCGTCTTAATCCTATGAACTCTAAGAGTTGCGAGATCCAATTTCTCCTTACAATATCACCCCTAAATCAACCATTAAGGTTATGAGAATAAAAGAAATGATCACCGACGAAAAAAGCTTTGATCGGTAAACAAAATCTCCTTGTCAGCACCTAAGGAAATGTATAGAGAACAGTATGAAGAATATGCATACTTATGTTAAGGGTTGAAGAGTTAAATCTCTTACTATGAATTGCAGCACTGGAACTCGTCAACACAACTCTTTTTACCCCGCCCTTGGTCTTGGCGCACGCTTCAAGGACGCTTTTGGTTCCTTCCACAGCGGGTGCAATAACCTCCATCTCATCTCTTGGCATCTTGAGAGGGAGCGGTGACGCAACATGTATCACATAGGTACAGTCTTTGACAGCACTGAAAGTAAAAGCAATTTATTTCTAACAGAAATAAGATTTCGGCCACTTAAAGAAAACACTGTGCAATATATTACACGACATACAATATCACTTCGCTTGTCTTTAGGGTAAGCAGTATTTCTTTCAGCAAAAGTTCGGGTGGCTCCTTTTCGTTCTAGGCTATACACTATAAAAGAGCTAGACTTTCACAAATTTTTACAACTCACTTCCTACAGTTTTTACCAGCCAATGGAGATTGGTTTGGGAAAGGGTGATGCAATGCAATAATCCCTTTTGACGAGAGGGGGAGGGCACTGAAGACAGAAAAATTTCATCCATATACATATTTCTGATTAGATACCGCGATACAAATCGGAATACTGATGAAATGGAAGTAAATTATCAACCCACGGCTAAATGGTTTCCAGTGATTGCGTCTTAAAAGGAAAAACAAAGGCTGAAGTAAACCTCCCCCCGCGACCTTGGAATATTCTAAAACTGGCTTGCGTGACTGCACTATGAGCGAAATCGATTAAATCTGAATTCAATTAATGGTTTCTGTAATATTTTACTGCAAGTCTTTGTGTGGGTGAATTTCTTATTCAAACACGGTCCGCAAAAATTTTCCCTTATTCGTAACCCTCACAGTAAGCACAAGTTAATTCTCGATACTCCAAAAGCGCATACCGGTGAGTTTTGCGTTCCTGCTCTATTTATATTGGCTTCAAAGGGGAACGTTTTATCGATGGTGGTCACGCCCGCCGACAACTAAAATGAGTTCAGCGTTTCCTAATAGCGGGGTGAGAATGATTAACTTTCTTTGTCAAGTATTAACACAGATGATTAAAATCTAGGGAGTTACTACATCACGGGCGACGAGCGGGGATAGAAAAAACGACCCAA